CTCTTGTGTAGGAGTGTTTCAGCATGGAAAAGTGGAGATCATTGCTAATGACCAGGGAAACAGGACCACCCCCAGCTATGTGGCCTTCACAGACACAGAGAGGCTCATTGGAGATGCTGCCAAAAATCAAGTAGCCATGAATCCCAACAACACCGTGTTCGACGCCAAGAGGCTGATCGGCCGCAAGTTTGACGATCCTATCGTCCAATCTGACATGAAGCACTGGCCCTTCCAAGTCACCAGTGATGGAGGAAAGCCAAAGGTTCGAGTTGAGTACAAAGGAGAGACGAAGACCTTCTACCCTGAAGAGATCTCCTCCATGGTTCTGGTGAAGATGAAGGAGATTGCAGAGGCTTATCTGGGACAGAAGGTAACAAATGCTGTTATTACTGTACCTGCCTACTTCAATGACTCTCAGAGGCAGGCCACCAAAGATGCTGGAGTGATCGCTGGTCTGAACGTCCTGAGGATCATCAATGAGCCCACAGCTGCAGCGATCGCCTATGGCCTGGACAAAGGCAAGAAGGAAGAGCGCAACGTCCTGATCTTTGACCTGGGAGGTGGAACCTTCGACGTTTCCATCCTGACCATTGAAGATGGCATCTTTGAGGTGAAAGCCACCGCAGGAGACACTCACCTGGGTGGGGAAGACTTTGACAACCGCCTGGTGAACCACTTTGTGGAGGAATTCAAGAGGAAGCACAAGAAAGACATCAGCCAGAACAAGCGGGCTCTGAGGAGGCTTCGTACAGCCTGTGAGAGAGCCAAGAGAACCCTGTCCTCCAGCTCTCAGGCCAGCATTGAAATCGACTCCCTGTATGAGGGCACTGACTTTTACACTTCCATCACCAGAGCACGATTTGAGGAGATGTGCTCAGACCTGTTCAGGGGAACGCTAGAGCCAGTGGAGAAAGCCCTGAGAGATGCCAAGATGGACAAGTCCCAGATCCATGACATTGTCCTGGTTGGAGGTTCTACAAGAATCCCCAAGATCCAGAAACTGCTGCAGGATTTCTTCAACGGGCGTGAACTGAACAAAAGCATCAACCCAGATGAGGCAGTAGCTTATGGTGCTGCAGTTCAGGCTGCCATCCTTATGGGCGACACCTCTGGAAACGTCCAGGACCTGCTGCTGCTGGATGTGGCCCCACTGTCCCTGGGCATTGAGACCGCAGGAGGAGTCATGACCGCTCTTATCAAACGCAACACCACCATCCCCACCAAGCAGACACAGGTCTTCAGCACGTATGCAGACAACCAGCCTGGTGTTCTGATCCAAGTGTATGAAGGTGAGAGAGCCATGACAAAAGACAACAACCTGCTGGGCAAGTTTGAGCTGACGGGCATCCCACCTGCACCACGCGGAGTTCCTCAGATTGAGGTGACCTTTGACATTGACGCCAACGGCATTCTGAACGTGTCAGCGGTGGACAAAAGCACCGGCAAAGAGAACAAGATCACCATCACCAATGACAAGGGCAGACTGAGCAAGGAGGAGATTGAGAGGATGGTGCAGGAAGCAGATAAGTACAAAGCAGAGGACGACCTCCAGAGAGAGAAGATTGCTGCCAAGAACTCTCTGGAGTCGTACGCCTTCAACATGAAAAACAGTGTGGAAGATGAGAAGATGAAAGACAAGATCAGTGAAGATGACAAGAAGAAAGTCATTGAGAGGTGCAACCAGGCCATTAACTGGCTGGAGAACAACCAGCTGGCTGATAAGGAGGAGTTTGAACATCAGCTGAAGGAACTGGAGAAAGTCTGCAACCCCATCATTGCTAAGCTGTACCAGGGAGGGATGCCAGCTGGAGGCTGTGGAGCTCAGGCACGATCCAGCTCAGGGGCCAGTGCCCAGGGGCCCACCATTGAAGAAGTGGACTAAAAATGTATTTTAATACGTGGACTTATCAACATATCTTTTTTGTATGTTAGATACCTCTCTGGAAAATGTTTTGGTGCCAATCCTGTTCATTTGTACCTCAAAGCATGAAGAAAACCAGTTCAGTTACATTCTGCAATAATGTCTTTTTCAATATTTGCACTTTATTAATTTTTGACCATTTACACAGGGAACAGAGAAGGTAATAGTAATGTACATACTTGGTGTTGGATGTATTTATTTTTAATAAAGTTTATTTTTTAAAAAAGGAGCAGTGCAGTGTTATGTTTGATGTTCAACAATATAACTTTTCCTTTTTGCATTTACAAAGCTTCACATACATGCACATGAGCGTTTTATATCACTACCAGAATAGCTTTTCTCAACCCCACTGCTCTTTTTTTTGTTTCCTCTTCTGCAGCCTGGATAAATTCAGTAGGTGTGTGGATTTAGCTACAAAGTTTCATTAAATAGAGACTGAAGTCTGCATTTCCACCACTGAACGTTTAAAATAGTATAAAGTGTAAAAAACTAAACAAACAGTAGAAATGAATTCTGCATGTCCAAATAATGTACATCAGAACCCAGTGTTTGAGGTACGGCTCTCGTATGAGAAATTCAATGGCGAATAGGAAATATTGGCAGTGTGGTTTTTGATTTGGACAATAGAGGTTAGTGTTTATCTAACATCTATTGCTACAGCACCACACATAGTTCTGTTTTCAATCCTTTAAGATATTAAGTCAATATAAAAATGCGTTATTTCAAGATATGAAGTCCATATGTTGACATACTGCTGCTAGAAACAAAGAAGAAAGAAGGCTTTTTCTCAACTACCTGGCAGGAATGGATTTCTGTACGAATGACTTGAACATTAGCTGAGAATTTAAATGATGGTTGTTAAAGAGAAAACAGAGTTGTACTGCTTCAGGATTGGATCTGAATAAGCCATCATAAAAACTCCAAGATGAGAGTTTAGGCATTGTTCTATTTCTCATAGATTGAAACCTATGAATTTAAGAAAGTTTCAGAAAATATTAAACATAGTAATATCAATTAGCTTTCAGAACATCAGTAAATGTGGGTAATACAGCTGTACCTTAATCATATACAATTCCTTTAAAATTGTATTTATTTTTTACACATTTGGGGCATTTAATACAAAGGATTCTTCTTACTTCAGTTAATTAAAATGTTGTTTCTCATGCCATCTCTGTCAATATTTAGCGGTAATTTGTCTATAAAATTACCAGCTTTCAATTCATGGGAATGTTTTCCCCTTATTTTATAATACATTTTACATTTATAGTAATCTATGCTGCTTTACAGAGCCTTTGTGTATTTGATAATCCAGTTTATTGAACGTGTTCCTATAAGTGTTGTGGATAGTGTGACAAGTCATGTGTACTCTCAGAGAATTTACATGAGGGGAAAGATCATTTCTACTCAGAGTAAGGATCTTGGTCCTATGAAGAATAAACATCTATAGAGGTTTCTACTCCTGCTAAAGAGAATCACACTTGAGCCCAAACATGACCACTATGGAATGCTTGTGTTATAAAAGCATGTTAGAAAAGATAGAAAACACCCGTTACTGATCATAGAGGATTCACAGCAAAATAACTTATGTCCAACAAAAATACTTGTCATAGCAACAGTAATATGCCACTAGAAGAGGTGCGTAGTGATTAGTGACTTTTATTTTGATACATGTACCAGAAATTGGACTGGTACTTTTTTCAGAATTTTCATATAATAATATTTCTACGTTTTCTTCAATAGGCTATACTTGTGAGAAGATAATCTACATTTAACTCAGTTATGTACTGGACATTAACACTTACCTACTGGTTGTTATTTTGTCGTTGTTTAATTTAATTCTGCTGTGTTTTGGTTCAGCTCCTTTACTGTTTGGCGAGTGGTCATGCTCCTCACTTTGGAGCTTTACCTTCTAATTTTAGACCAAAAGGATCCAAAAGAGAAAAATGTAGCCTAACAAACATCAGTTCCTTTGCTGACAGATGCTGAATGTACTAAGAAGTTCCACTGCAATGCTGTAAGCTACTCAGTGCCAAAAAATGGGAACTCCACCAACTTTATGAAATTTTTACATAATTAAATATTTCAGATGTGAAACGTTCAGTTCTAGAGAGACTGAATTGTTCACAGTAGTGGTGATAAGAGCCAGACGTCTTTAGTATTTCATGCCTCTAACAGAAAATTATTACATGACATGTTTATGAATACACATTCTGAGACATTGTTTAATGCTAGTTTTAAGTTAAGGTTGTGGCCTAAAATGTGTTTTTTAATCCACTTATGCCAGAGAGATACATACAGTCAGTTGTTAGGAAAAATAGTCCACAAAGAAACATTATTTTTAATTGATCACTGTCTTACCATTATCAACATTCAGTATTACATATGAAAACTCAAAAGACATATTTGGGTTCAATAGTTATTTTGGATGGTTTATAAAATGCTTATATTTGTGTTGTAGTCATTAAGGCCCCTGTTTCCCATCATCACCACTGTAAAGAAAGACACAATCTATGACACTCCCAGTTTCATGGTCTAAGGCCTCTAGAGGGTCCTGTGTAGTTCTCCATCAGCCTGTCCCAAGTTCATATTTGATGGTCTAACATGGTTAATTTGGACTGTCCTCAACACTGTGCTGGAAAACACCCCATGATGTCTGTGTGGCCTTTATTCCTCCATATCGTCTCTTCATGCTGAGTGGAGAGATGGAATATATACATTAAAATGACAAACTACAAAATAAAACTTTGTGATGTGTAGTCTGGTATAGTACGTGCAGTAAATCCATGAAAGACAAGAGTCTTTCTTTTAAAAAGATGATCATGAAAGTAGGCTGTTAGCGGATGTACAAAGCGCTTAACTACAGTGTTTATTCATCGTTTATTAAACGCTAGATCAGTTTTACGGAGCTGAAAACTCTTCATGTGGAAAGTGAAGCTAAACGCTGTGAATCGTCTAGAAAACTCTGCTCTGCTCTCTGCAAGATTTCTATGGTGTGCTCGTCAGTCGGTGGGCGTGGTCCCAGTAGCTGCTCTCTTCTGATTGGTCAGTGTCGCAGGAACGTTGGAGAAACGCCGAGAAAAGTGGAGAAGAGACTCGCTGCGTCCGCAGCTGCTTATAAAGAGCGGCTGACAGAGAAGAGCGGTAGAGAACAGAGAGAACAGCAGAAACGAAGAGGAGCAGAGCGGCGACTTTACAGCGAGACTTTATCTACACACATTTTACAGCTCTGTTACCTGTAAGTACGTTTATACTCGCTTTTTCCCTCTGAGTCGATCTGTTCACCAAGTACAGTGTGGAGTCAGAGAACAGCACAGTGAATGAAAATGGGCTTAAATTTAGAGTTACAGCGTTTAAAAGCTACATTAGTCGCCTGTATATATGATCTTATGAGTGTTAAAACAAGAGAGGCAGCATGTTAAAACACTATCCTGTATTCATGGGATGATTAATCATATGAGGTTTTGACAGTTGTGAGTAGTTCCTTATGAAAAGGACCCGTATTTAGGATTCAGAAATTCCTATAAAAATCTACTAGTATTTTCATACAATTACTGTAGTGGGTGAAATTATTATAAACTGTAATTGAAGTCTTTTTTTCTTATAATATTGCTGTAATTCCCTAATTCCCTGATTTGTTATGAAACTGCTGTTTTAAAACACACGTTCTAATTTCTTCCATGATCTCTGTATGTATCGTTTTAGACACCTGACAACAATCAAGATGTCCTCTGCGAAAGGAGTTGCTATCGGCATTGACCTGGGCACCACCTACTCTTGTGTAGGAGTGTTTCAGCATGGAAAAGTGGAGATCATTGCTAATGACCAGGGAAACAGGACCACCCCCAGCTATGTGGCCTTCACAGACACAGAGAGGCTCATTGGAGATGCTGCCAAAAATCAAGTGGCCATGAACCCCAACAACACCGTTTTTGACGCCAAGAGGCTGATCGGCCGCAAGTTTGACGATCCTATCGTCCAATCTGACATGAAGCACTGGCCCTTCCAAGTCACCAGTGATGGAGGAAAGCCAAAGGTTCGAGTTGAGTACAAAGGAGAGACGAAGACCTTCTACCCTGAAGAGATCTCCTCCATGGTTCTGGTGAAGATGAAGGAGATTGCCGAGGCTTATCTGGGACAGAAGGTAACAAATGCTGTTATTACTGTACCTGCCTACTTCAATGACTCTCAGAGGCAGGCCACCAAAGATGCTGGAGTGATCGCTGGTCTGAACGTCCTGAGGATCATCAATGAGCCCACAGCTGCAGCGATCGCCTATGGCCTGGACAAAGGCAAGAAGGAAGAGCGCAACGTCCTGATCTTTGACCTGGGAGGTGGAACCTTCGACGTGTCCATCCTGACCATTGAAGATGGCATCTTTGAGGTGAAAGCCACCGCAGGAGATACTCACCTGGGTGGGGAAGACTTTGACAACCGCCTGGTGAACCACTTTGTGGAGGAATTCAAGAGGAAGCACAAGAAAGACATCAGCCAGAACAAGCGGGCACTGAGGAGGCTTCGTACAGCCTGTGAGAGAGCCAAGAGAACCCTGTCCTCCAGCTCTCAGGCCAGCATTGAAATCGACTCCCTGTATGAGGGCACTGACTTTTACACTTCCATCACCAGAGCACGATTTGAGGAGATGTGCTCAGACCTGTTCAGGGGAACGCTAGAGCCAGTGGAGAAAGCCCTGAGAGATGCCAAGATGGACAAGTCCCAGATCCATGACATTGTCCTGGTTGGAGGTTCTACAAGAATCCCCAAGATCCAGAAACTGCTGCAGGATTTCTTCAACGGGCGTGAACTGAACAAAAGCATCAATCCAGATGAGGCAGTAGCTTATGGTGCTGCAGTTCAGGCTGCCATCCTCATGGGCGACACCTCTGGAAACGTCCAGGACCTGCTGCTGCTGGATGTGGCCCCACTGTCCCTGGGCATTGAGACCGCAGGAGGAGTCATGACCGCTCTCATCAAACGCAACACCACCATCCCCACCAAGCAGACACAGGTCTTCAGCACGTATGCAGACAACCAGCCTGGTGTTCTGATCCAAGTGTATGAAGGTGAGAGAGCCATGACGAAAGACAACAACCTGCTTGGCAAGTTTGAGCTGACGGGCATCCCACCTGCACCACGCGGAGTTCCTCAGATTGAGGTGACCTTTGACATTGACGCCAACGGCATTCTGAACGTGTCAGCGGTGGACAAAAGCACCGGCAAAGAGAACAAGATCACCATCACCAATGACAAGGGCAGACTGAGCAAGGAGGAGATTGAGAGGATGGTGCAGGAAGCAGATAAGTACAAAGCAGAGGACGACCTCCAGAGAGAGAAGATTGCTGCCAAGAACTCTCTGGAGTCGTACGCCTTCAACATGAAAAACAGTGTGGAAGATGAAAAGATGAAAGGCAAGATCAGTGAAGATGACAAGAAGAAAGTCATTGAGAGGTGCAACCAGGCCATTAACTGGCTGGAGAACAACCAGCTGGCTGATAAGGAGGAGTTTGAGCATCAGCTGAAGGAACTGGAGAAAGTCTGCAACCCCATCATCGCTAAGCTGTACCAGGGAGGGATGCCAGCTGGAGGCTGTGGAGCTCAGGCACGATCCAGCTCAGGGGCCAGTGCCCAGGGGCCCACCATTGAAGAGGTGGATTAGAAAAGATGAACTTAATTGACTCCTCAGTTTTCTTTGGTGCCAATTTAAATGTATCTTCTTTAATACTGATTAAGCTTAACATTCCATGTTATTTAGTATATGGGTGACATAAGGAACTTTCATTGCTGTGCATGAGAGACTTATAGTAACTTTCGATCAGCAGAAAAACAGTCAAGAACCGTAACATGTAAATATCGTAAATATGGTTTACATTTGTAAGTTATTTATTGTTAATAAAATTGGTTTTAATAAACATGTTGATGTCATTTTTTTCTGCATGTACCAGACAGATGGACCAATACTTAATTTTAATCCAAGATTAAACCATAAAGTATCATTTTAGATGCCCTTAAAAATACTGCAGACAAAGTATTTGAGTATAAACAATAGAGCTGTTGCTCTCAACAAACAATTTAAGATTCTGTGCCTTAGAGCAGGGTTTTCTGACCAGACCAGGGGTTCATTTGTTTGTAAGACTGAGATGGATCAAATCAAAGGATGTTTTTTTCCTTTTAAATAAAAAATCAAAAACACATTTTAAAAACCTTATAAGTATGATATGTGTTAATGTTTTTTTTCTTCATGAAATAATGGCCCATTCATAAATCACTGACATTACATAATATCATGTAACAAACCTACCATTGTAACAATGAGAGGGTTTAATGTAGATTATTGTAAATAGCTAACTAGCTATGCGAAAGCATTCTTCATGGCTAAAACATCTTAATTGAGTGTGTGATGTTTGGAGCACCCTTCTGGTGACAGTATGAATCCAGCTTTCTGCAAAACTGGCTCCAAACGTATTTCATTTAAACTATTTTTATATTTAGGCTATATTTAGCCTATTTAAATTCTCCTTGATTTTTAAGGGAAACAGAAAGGAAGCTGAAAGGCAGTTTTACTGACACAAATAGTTGGGAACCCCTGATAGAGAAGAATGACAGCAAATGAAGAAATAATTGAAACTGAGTGTATTGGCCAGCAGAGGTCAGTGTCTGTCCATACTGCTGAAAAGTAGTGTCCAAAAGGGCTCATCATTCTTGTATTTCATTTTGATGTCCACTCACAACATTTATTTAGGTTTCATGTACCAAAAACAGTCATAATTTGTATATTTTACAGTCTCTCTTTAAATAGGCTGTTTAATTATTGTGCCTTACAATTTTTGTACAGAAAAGGGGAATCCAAGACTAGTTTTGCTGCTCAGTTTCCATAGATGGACTGGGGAGTGAATGATATGCTTTAAAACTTTAACAGTGTTTACATACTACATTAAACTCCTTCAGTTTATTTTTCTCAAAATACATTTTTCCATAATATGGGCCTTTTACAAGCACTAAGTATGAAAAGGTGTAGCCTTGTTGGGCTTGTTTGAGTGATCACAGTTATCCTGAATATTGTTTTCCATTGTGTGTTAAAGTTGGAGCCCTCAAACAAACTGACTGTGTTCTAGTAACAACATTTGGTTTTTGTTTTAAGTGCAGTAAACATCTTTCAGGAAATATCATTCCTGTCTAGTTATATCTAGTCATTGTTTTTCATTTGTACTGCCTTGTGTTAGTTTTGATGCTGGAATGTGGTGTGATCAGATTTCCTTTCATTAAACTTTTCAAAAGACCTGAATTTTGATACAATGCAAAGTGTAAGTTGTGACTTAGAAAAACATAAGCATGTTAAGATTATGCATTTCAAACAAGTATGTCTTTTCAGGCACAGCTACTCGGCCTATAAAGAAGCCCTTGATTCATGTTTGACAGCACACCATAATATATTGCTGTATATTTTAGACCTCATGTCAGTCCTAACACTATCAAATAGACTTAACTGTGTGTTGAATCGACCCACCACCTGTTTTGAACAAGTGTATGTGTCTCTTTTAACAGTATGCCAACATTTGTATATTAACAACCACAGAGGCATGACACTCTGAATGACTGCCAAGGTTCCTTTGCTCAGTCATGGCATGTGTGTTTCTCTGGCACATCCCCAGCATGCTGTGAGATAGAGAGACATGATATCATCCTGTTCACATTTAGATAAGCATAGTGTGAGCCCACTGATACTAATTAGTTGGCCTCTTCTTGGAGAATGCATCCACACAAGAGGGACACTTATTAATAACTATATTACGCATATCATTTGAAGCACCGAAGACATGCTGGTCCCGAATGTTGTATTACACTGTCAAGACTACATCTCTTTTTTATTGATGTATCTGATGTGTCGGGTAAGTGGTAGATCAAGTGTCAAAAGCATGAATTTACTACTGTCAAAGTGTGAATTCCACTGATTTTTCAATTTTTCTGCATAATTCAGTGACTGAGATGTAAACAAGGTCATTCAGATTGTTTTGATGTGAAATGGTTAATTGTAGTGATACTGACTGGGATTTCTTTACAGTAGTGGTGTATCAATGTGTGCATCACAAATATAGGCTTTTCATTTACAATCCAAAACCACCAGTGAGCCTTCATGTGTAACATTGATAACAGTAAAATTGTGGTAAATCTGAATAAATATGTTCTATTTGGGTACTATGTGTCATACAATCGGTCCGCTGGTTTGGTAAATCCACTGACTGTTTGCCACTGCTGCTCCACTCTCGGACCACCCAGATTATTGTCCTGCATACAAGATATAACAAGTTTTTTTAACGTCCTCAAACAGATTTTAAATGCACACTTTTATTCTAGATAATAAAGAGAAAAAATAATGACTAGGCCTAGTATGAAATGATTATGTTGTTGATACTGTGCTAGATTGGTTACAGCTGAATAACTGGCTTTATTTATGATCTTGCTATTAAAATTATTTACAAAACAAAGTTACAAAGGATAACTAAAGAAAGGAAGGAAAAGTAAGTATATTGTACCATGAGTGGACATTGAGTGATTCAAAGTGGCGTTTTGTCCAGTACTCTGCTTAACCACTGGTGGGCCACCTGGAGAGCACTGAGCAAAAAGCATGTGGGCTGCCAGCTTTGCCGTTAGAGGGCCATCAGCGGCCTGCTCTCCCCTTGCTATCCAGATTAAAAAAATACAGCCCAAAGGCTTATGTCAAACAAAGCCTCAGGCATCCGACAGAGTATTCATAACCATTTAATGTAATAACTTTTAGAGCGATCTTCTCCGCAAAAGGGCTGGTGTTCCAAAGCAGGAGCTCACATGATCAGGCATTTAAAGACAATTGATTAAACAAGTAGGATCAGGTGAGCTTCTGAATTGTATGTTTATTTTGGATGCACGTTTCCTGTTTTGTTCTGGTGTACTGGGTTGTTTCTTTATGTGTTTGTCTTTATATTAGCTCTGTGTTTGTTGTCATCATGGACCCTCCTCCACTCACCCTGGCTGCCTGCTCTACGCCCCCTTTAGACACTAATTCAGACTCTAATAAACACGACTTAGCACTTATATCCACCTGCCTTGGCTGCTCATTCATTACACTTTGTTGACATATTATCCACTTAATTATACAGAGATTTTATAAAAAAAAAAGGTGGAATTTCCATTTAAAGGTTTCTTTATGTGCAAATTCAATATGGTGGCAGAGGGGAAAGTGGGGGGACAATTTACACGGTTTGGTTTTTGCTTAATAAACAAGCAACCTTCGCATCTACAGCAAATATGAAAATAAAAATTAAATATATTTTATTTATATGAGGAATATGGTATGTTTTTGATTAATCTTTCAAAAGAGCTGTCTGTTTTTATTTATGTGAGAGGATATGAACTTTTCTCATTGTTTACTCTTGTCACTCGTTGGTTACCCTGTGTTAAAACTAACCCCACCATGTGGAGGCTGTACTTTAGTCGGACTAGCTCTCATTGAAAAACGTTTACGTGCTTGAAAATGGTGCTGTATTACAGCCTTGATTAAAATAATATAGGTGTGAATTTTGTGACTTCTATGCACAACTCAGTAATCAAAACAAACATAATAAATACTTACATCCAACTTAAAAAATAAATGACTGAAACTTAATGTTTTTACTTTTTTGGATAAATAAACAATGATGCCTGGTTGAACAATTAAAAGCTGAATGATTAAACTGATTTTAAGCAACATTTTCTAATTTAAGTGTCCTACTTTTTTATTAATATAACATAATTTGAAGATAAATCTGTAAATAATGTTTTTTTTTTCAACTGGTCTTTTATAATCTGTATAGTGTTGCCAGACTAAATGTTATAAAGCTAATAATAAACCATATATCTTTTACAAAATATAGTATTTTGCAATTTTATCTCATTACCATAACATGTTGATAGCCACTGAGTTTTTTTTTTTATTTGTGCCAAATAACATTTTGTTGTTTTGTTGTTTATGTTATAACTGTTTGCACTGATTTTTTTAAAGAAAAGAGATTCAATAGTTAAAGGTAAAAACAAATCTTTTAAAGTATCTAAACATTTTTTTACCTATGTGATGATTATTGTTTGAGGCAGTTTCATAAGAATGAACCTTAAGAGGAAAAAAGTTTTTTATGGCAGAAAAAAGTCTTCATGTTGAATTTTGAGAAATATCTGTACGATTGCTGTGAAAATTTACAGATGATGTTGCTATGGGAATACAAGAACGTGACCAGGAGCATGTTTTACTTAAAATATCCATGTCACATTTTACACTGCGTGAGTTTGTGCTGGGAAATTTGAGGTGCACCTTTAAAAATACAGTTTCCAGTAAGAGTTCTTTGGAGCGATGCTATAGAAGAACCATAGTGGTTGCTTAAAGACTCTTCCAATAGATGGCCAAAAAAACATTTTTGCTAATGAGATGTCCAAAGTGAAGAACATCTAAGTTTACAATGATGTAAAGGTTCTATTCCAATTCAAGGTTATTCCAAGCCAAAAACCATATAGGAACCTGTATTTTTAAGAGCGTAGGCCATCTGCTTGGTATTTAAATGTTGTAATCTGAAACTCTTGACTGTGTTTATGTGTGTAAACATGTGAGATTTCTATGCATGAAATACAACCTCCCTGTTGTCTTATCATTCTCGACCCTTACACCATCTCCCTCTGTGTCTAATGTGGATTTACAGTGGGCCCATTGGCATGGTGAGGGTTCCCCCTTCTGCACGGTAGTGCCAGGAATGTCAACCCTGAAATGCAACCCTGAAAACGATGCCCATGAAAACAAGACACAAGCTCAGGTACGGGACAACAATAGAAGTGTCCAGCCCTCAAACCCCCACCCCACTCCAGAAAACTCCAGGAGCAAAGTGTGTACACATGTAGAGGTGGGCGATAT